ATAGTGCCTCACAAAGGTTGATGGATTAGACCATGTAACTGCACTGCAGATGTGCAGAAGCTCTGTTCCATGGTGGAAAGCAGTAAAGTTTGACAGCACTCTGGTAGAGTGAGCTTTTAAATGTTCAGGAGGTGTCTTGCCTGAGAGTTCATAGGCCAATGATATAGTTTGAACAATCCAGCGAGAAATGGTTTGAGGTGAAGCTGGGGCACCCTTATGAGGGCCTTGAAAACATAAGAAGAGCCTTGGAGACTTCCTGAATAACTTTGTTCTACCAATGTAGAAGGCCAGAGTGTCTTACATCAAGCATGTGGAGCATGCACTCGAGAGGTGTAGAAGGAGATGGAAATAAAGTTGGTAAAATCAATGGTTGATTGAGGTGAAATTCAGAGACGATTTTGGGTAAAAATGATACATCAAAATAGAGGGTAACCTTATCTGGATGAAACTGAAGGAAAGGTGGATCTGATCTGAGGGCCGCAAGTTTGCTGGCATGTTTGGAAGGTTTTATTGCTACAAGGAATGATGTCTTTAGCATAAGTAATTTGAGATTGGAAGTAGCCATCGGTTCAAAGGGTGGTCGAGTGAGCACGTTGAGGACAAGTCGTAAGGACCACTGAGGGAGAGGGTGCTGTCGTGGGGGGGGGGCAAATATTTTGGAGTCCCTTGAGGAATTTCTTTAAAGTTGGGTGGGAAAAAAGCCTTGCTGAATCAGAATGAGAAGGCTGGTGAGCTACAACAGCTGCAATGTAAACCTTCAAGGTAGAATGAGATAGCTCGAGATGAAAGAGATGGGGGATAAAGGTAAGTAGGGTCTTCAAAGAAATTGGTGTTGCAGGTAAGTCTTGAGAATGAGCAAAAGAGAGGAAAGATTTCCATTTATTAATTTTAGGGTCGATGCTTTCAAGCTCGGTCTAGTATGTTTCGTATGGCGGGAGTATCCTCCAAGCTGTTAGGTTCAAAGAGTGTATGTCGGGGTGGTAAATCATCCCGTTGTCTTGGGTCAGGAGATTGGGGATCGACAGGAGGTGGAACACGTCGTTTGATATCGATCTCTGGTGGGTGAATCACAGTTGACGTGGCCACCATGGGGCGAGGAGGATGGCATTTGCATGGAACTGTTGAAGTCAAATGACAGTTCATTGTATGAGTGGAATTGGAGGGAATAGGTAAAATAGTCCTCTGACCCAGTCTTTCATAAAGGCATCTCCGAGTGAGTTCAAATTGACACCAGCTCGGGAGCAATACTGTTGGCTCTTGGTGTTGATCTTGGAGGCAAGAGATCGATGGACAGAACACCCCATCGGTGACAGAGGAGGTAGAAAACTTCCTTGTTCAGTGCCCATTCGTGTGTCTTTGTGGTAAGACGACTGAGATGGTCTGCAAGACGGTTGTCGTCTGTGGCGATGTGGACAGCTACTGGGAAAATGTGGTGTAGGTAGCACCATTCCCAAAGTTCGTCCGCCAGATACAGGAGCGAAAGGGAGTAGGTACCTCCCTGTTTGTTTATGTAGTACAGCGCTGTAGTGTTGTCTGTAGCTAATTGTACCACTCATCCTGCAATGAGAGGTAAGAAGGCATGGAAGGCCCTGATGACTGCTAAGAGTTCAAGATGGTTG